GACAAGCTCTTTTTGCTTACTTCTCACTTTTTCTCATCCTTTTTTTTTTGGGGGGGTGTGGGGGGTGTGAGCACGGCCCAGACAGGGGCTGTTCTTTCTCGAGCTCAACATTAAATAAGAGGGACCCAAAAATATATTGAAAATGCACTCTTAAGACATGGCACATGGCGTATTTCAAACAAATGCCAAGCATATTTCAAAAAAATGCAGCTGAAAATCTCCAAAATATCAAAAGCTATTTCAGTAAAGGGTTTTGCTTACTTTAGACATTCATGCAACTTCTAAAAAGTTGAACCTCTTCCAAGTATTTTAACTCAATTGTATGGACAAACTCACCAGCACAGGAAGGTGCAAACAACCCCACGGTCCACATCTCTGTAGTCTTCCCAGGAGGACTCCCCAAATCTGGCTGCGTGGGACATCAGGCTTCCTCAGGACCTACTGCCCTGAAATGTCCTTGCTGTGAGCTGGGCTTTGCTTCCAGCCTCTCAACCGGTTCTGATGCCGATCATCATCTCCTCACTTCCTTTTACTTTCCAGTAAACTTGAAGTTATCCAAGTCAGGAACCAACCTTCTTGTCTTGCACTTGCACGGCTTCCAGCTCACAATACCTATATCCTACAGCAGTGCTCAAACTCAATGATTACCAGCTGGGCCTTCAACAGCAGGACATGTATTTGTGTGGCTCTACTCTGTCTACATGCAGGGAAGAGGTTTCTGATGGGGCGTTAGAGCTCAGTCCCTTCTCCATCATTCCCATGGCACCCTGCCATACACCTCCATCAAGCTCCAGCTTCAGCCCACCATGATGGGATACAGCTTATTATTTTAGGGAAAGCTTTAAGGCACGGTCTTGCAGCTGACTCTTCCAGACCATGTCTAGATATCCTCAGAAATCTTTAGAGCAAACCACGGAGGTGTGCGTTAACACATGCACATCGCTCACATCTCAGCCACAACAGATCACAAATACTGAACAAGACCCGATACACACTATTTCATTTGACCTTTGACTACGACGGAGCCAAAGCAAGGTGATTCCAGCCCATAAATATTCCTGCAGACTAAAGAAGCTCAGACCTCAAACCTTAAAGGTAAGTGTACAACAGCATCGAATCACCCCAGCTGTTTCACCTTAGACAGGAGGGAGGTGTTGACACTGAAGTGATGCTTCGCAATTCAGGCAATCTGTGTTCAATTGCCAGGCTTGCATAAACTCTGTAATGCAGTATTGTGCATCTAGGAGAATTAAAGACAAGGCACAGTCACCTCACCTGCCTCCAAAGCATCCTAGTCCTGCAAAATGCATAGGAAGGACTCTTGGTTTAATGGGGTGTTATTCTGCTTCAGTATAGCACAGCAAGAAAAGGACTTGCATCTTTTTAATTTTTAACCTTCAAGTAGATTAAAAAAAAAACAAAACAAAACCACAGATGTAAAAAGATACAACTATAATCAAGGTGGCAAGAAACTGGCGCCACGTTTATCATTGGAACAGTTTGGGCGTTATCCTGAACCAGTTCATACCATTGATCAAAGCATTTCTTTGCATCAGCCTGCTGCAGTAGGCAGATAAAACATAGCTGCACCGTGTGCATAAACTGTGTTTAGATACATAAATCTTAGCAAAGTGGCTTCTTATTTTGAGGCAAAACCAGAAAGAATTATATGTTGCATTAAATATTTTCTTCTCTGTCCTCTTCTCGACCGTCTGAAAGATCAATTAAAGTGCCTTTCCCTAAAACAGGCTAAGAGAAGCGCTTTCCAAAAATAAATAAATAAATAATGAATCCACTCTTTGCTTTTAATATGATCTCTAAAGAAAACAAGCATAACGACTTAAAGATTCCCACAGTGAAAAAGAAGAAAATGCAGAAGGTTTAATCATCCACTTACGAGGTAACGAAGTAGATTTCTCAAGTTTTACGTCTCCTGCAAAATTTTAAGCATTCATACACAAATATTAGTAACACGTTGCAGCAAGCTGAATAGTTTCCCCTGCCCTCGCACAGGAATACGTGCAAGGCCCTCCCTTGCACTCACATACACACATTTGCCGTTTCCATCACTTTTCTATTTACAAAGAGATTAAAATGGAACTCCAAGCAATCGTGCCATTGATTTTAACGCCTTCCTACCCTTATGAAGGTCTTGCTGTCCTGCATATCAGCAATCTCTCTGTCCAACACTGCAATGTCTGGAAGCATCAGCGCGAGCTCTCTGCACGCTGACCAGTAATGTGACTTACGGTCAAAAGCCTCAGCACTGTGAGAGCATCACTGAGTTCAGCTGGCCTCCCAGTTACCAACCATAATGGGAACTGGAGGAAAAGGGAGAGAGATCATCCCACCAAGCAAACTCAAGACCTACTTTCTTCTCCCTCAGACTGCCCCGTATCATGTCTTTGCAAGGCAAGGGAGGAACTCTTCCCATCAAAAACCCATCTTCTTAGTTTCTAAGGAAGAAGTTTTCTGCGCTGAGGGTGGTGAAGCACTGGCACAGGTTGCCCAGAGAGGTGGTGGATGCCCTATTCCCGGAATCATTCCAGGTCAGGTTGGACGGGGCTCTGAGCAACCTGATCTAGTTGAAGATGTCGCTGCCCTTGTCAAAGGGGTTGGACTAGATGACCTTTTAAAGGTCCCTTCCAACCCAAACCATTCTATGATTCTTAGCTCTCCAGAGAGCAGCAAACCATTACACCATCATGTCAAGATGAACCCGGAGGACCTTTCCAAGGCTGTGTTGTTGGACAGCAATTTGGTGGAATTGTATCTCCTCCTTCCCACAGCATCAGTGAAGCACTCGAGTGCTCTTCTATTTTGCCCAGCCCATGCCAAGACATTGGGCTGACTTCCAGCAACGCAGTCTGGAGAGGAAATCTCAGCTCCAGGCAAAGCTGTCATAGGGGACAATAGTCATCATCACACCCAAATGCAAAAGAGCTGATAGGAGAGAGAAACCACTGCCTTACTCAATTGAAACAGGAGGAAAATAACTTGCAATATTAAAAAAAAAAAACCACCAACCCACAACCAAAAAAAAAAAACAATGCAACAAATGAAAACAAAAGCTAAGAGGCAAATAATTCATTTAGGCAATATGCAGTCCCCATACTCTACCTGAATCATTTAAGTTGAAGGTTCGCGGTTTAATCAGAACCACCATAAAAAGGAAAGCAAGGGTCAGAAGTACAAGATTTATCTTGAGTAAACGAAACAGGTTTCTCGGCAAGGCATTTTCATTTAAAAGAGGAAAAAAATATGTTGCAGTTTGTCAACTGACCAGTAAGGGGAGTCGGTGCCTAGAGCTTTGAGTCAACCACGCATATGCAGTTTTGGGTGGAGAAAACTCAAATAAACAGTTCTGAGGTAGTGACATTGAGAAAACATTGACGACTGCCAGAAGATGCTGGAGGAAGATGGACAGAGAGCACCGTGTCCGGAAAACCCACTAACCTGGAAAGGGAGAGGGTTTGCGAGATACCCCAGTAGGAAAAAAAAGTCATATTTTTGCTTGGAAATGGGTCTTTCTCTCCCTGCAGGGTATAATGGAAAGCACGTGATGGAGAGCACTTGGAAGGAGAAAGGCAAAGGACAAATGAAATCGAGTCAAGATGGAGCTTAGGATAAAAATTAAGGGCTAAATCTCAATGCACTTCTGGGTATGATACTCTGATGGTACCATGTTTCCCAGAAAAGACCTGGGCCAACTCCTCTGGTGGCCCTGAGGAGACATCTAGGAAGGTACCAGATGCCTGGAAGAAGACTTCAGAAGACAAGGGCTAATCAGACTCCTCACCACTGAGCCCCAGCACTAGAAACAAATAGGGAAAACATTAAAAAAAGATTTATTTAAAAAAAAAAAAGCTCAAAATCTGAGTGGGATTTAATAATATTATACAGTATCTAAAGAAAAATGCCAGCAGTAGGAAATCATTAAGCTTTGTATGGGGAATAGCAGCAAAATCACTCCTGCGTCTATAGCCATGCTGGGCTCATCAACAGAAACGGGGCTGCCACCGGCTCCAGGGCCATGGGGAGGAGCACTCAAACGCTTACCTTCCTTTTTCCTCTTAATCTCATTAACCTCCTATTTACTCTGTTGTTGGTGGTTACTCAGGATGTTAATAGGCATACTTTTTGCATATTATTTACTGAATGTTACAAATCTGTTTCACTCTGTATACGAAACGGGGCTGGAACATGCCAATTCTCCCCATGCTACGGAAAACAGAGGTAGAGAAGTAAAATCCTTTTTAAGGACTTGTTTCAAAGATCGTGATTTCTTGAATAAGAATTAAGGGCAAGATAACCAACTGATTCAGAAAAATATATAAAACCCTTTTTTCTAATTCTAGAATACCTTCTAAAGTATTCTATGAAGGAAGAACAGACACACAAACCAAAAATACCCAAGAAAAGACTTATTTCCCACTATTAAGCTGGAGTACATGAAACAACTATTCTAGCCACGATACGAATTATCGTAACGGTATTCCAGGTGGGAAAAACAGATGTAGTTTAACAAAGCTGCCGATAAAAAACTCTAAAGGTTTTACAAATACAGTCCATTACGCCTTGAAAAATGAAACCTTCACTGACCATCTGTTCCTAGCAGAGGGCGCCCATTAACACTCACTTAGACCAGAAAGCCCAACTCAAAGTCAACGCATTGCGAGTGTGGACCATCCCAGAGCTTAATGAATCAGCCAAGTTAGGCAAGATCAGCTGTCAGGGGAAGAATTTGGACGGAGATTGCCCAATAGTAACCAGTTAAAACAAGGAAACCACCGCAAGAGCGGAAGACACCGTCCAGAGGTGAACATCTGCAAGCGTTGAGCCCACAATGTTCCTGCACACCCACTCCAGAGGCTGGGTTCACAAAGCGTAGCATCACCTCCAACGAGTTGAAGGGATATGGAGAAAAACAACCAAAACAAAAGAAAGAACCTGAAACAGGAAGGATTATCAAAGAAAGAACACAGCAAAAAATACCTCACCCACAATTTTATCCCTTCGGGTGGTGGAGACCCTTGTTCGGCACTAGGCAGCAATAGCCCAATGGACCCAAGGCCCGTCTCAGCAGTATCGTCTCTGTTCAGGGAAGAGGGAAAAAAAAATGAAAATCAGAAGTGAAACGTTCATACAGGTTTTTATCTGCTCTGTTTCCCCCAGTCTGAAGTGCAGGCATTCCCAAGACTGATGTTTTAGCTGTATCTTTAGATTCAACTGCCTTTGGGAGTTTTCACATCCTGTGAATTTGTTAAAGAAAAATATATATATTAGGCAAGCTTTGCTTTTGGCCTACACAATATCTCTTGACAACGACACACATAAAAAAACCCCAAAAAACCCCAAACCACTCCTTCCCTTTGATTTCAGGGTGCAAACATTAGGGGATGCCCAGTGAAATACAGCAAGTAATTTTCATTTTCTGCAGTTTGTGATTTCACACAACTGTCATTTCCCCCTGCTTAGTGGTCTCATATTTTATATTCAGTCTTAGCCAGTTAAACAGGACCTGTCGGCATTTTTCCTACAAAAAGAAAGCCCATGCAACTAAAGGGATTGCCGAGCTAGAAGCACACAACTGGGACAACCAAATGGACCCAGCACTGGAAGAGGTCTCAGCACAGAAGAGCAAAACCTTCACTAGGATGGTGTAACACAAAGCTGCACAGAGAATTCATGCCTTTGTAACAGCAGCCAATCTGTTATAAAGCAAAGTTAGCAGAAGACTGAAAAAAACATTATGGTATCTTTATAATTTATTTTGAACTAAAAATATATATAGAGAGGAAAAATTAAATTACTACTTTGGGGAAGATGATTCATACGAGAGTGCATGTGCACATGGATGTCTCTTGTACAAGAGACAAGAAATAACATAGCCATATAGCCAGCTATACAGCTGCAGATTTTAGAACAGCATGCGTAAAGATCCGATAGCTCAGATACCTCACTAACTAGCGTCTCCAGAGTTACTAAACCCCTTTTTTCCTCACACACTTTAGTGACTGATCTTTTTTTTTTTGGTCCCAAATCTGGAAACTAATGCTTCAGAAGGAATTTAACATGCTTTTAATGCCGTTTCTTATGCTTAAAAAAAAAGAAAACAAGAAAAAGAATGGCTTACGCAACTCAGGTAGAGACACTTTTACGCTCTATAAAGTTAAGGACGTGGAAGTAGTACTCCCTTTATACAGTAATTATACCTCAAAGAAAGTGTTTTAATCAAACTGCTGAAAATTTTGGCTAGTTGGTTTGTTTTAAGCAGGAGGAGCATCATCATGAAAGACTCAGCCTTGCAGACATCATCAAAGCCTTCTTATCCCTCCTTCTGATGGGATGGTGGAGAAAGTCAAATGACATGGGATGACACTGGAGTCGGAGAGCAGCAAAGGATGCTGAAGGACCTCCTGCCCCGAGTTTTCATACCCTGAGAAGAACCACACAATTACCTTTTCCTCTGCTTTGATGAACACAATCTATTTCAAGATCCTCAAAACCCAACAGCAGAAGCTCCAACACATGAAAAAAAAAAATCATTAAGAGCTTTTAGGTTAAAGTACAGTAGCCGGCGCCAGCTTTCAGAGACAGGGTAAATAAGTAAGACCTTTAAAATTTAAGATGTTGCTCAGCACCATGTCATGCTACATCACACAACACTTCTTCCTCGTTATTTCTCTGGCCAAAGGTCAAAATTCATCTTCCCAAGAGACAAGCCCTTCCTATAGAGAGCAATGAAACTCCCACATCCAACTACCTCAGGAACAATCCACGTCTCCACCCTGGAGACCTTCCAAACATCAAGACATGCTGCGATTTATCAAGAGGCAGCCTCCCCTCTTCATAATCACCGTACAGTGACACACGAAGCGCGTGCATTGTCACCACAGAGATGTAGGAACCCTTGTACAAATCCTATTGCTCCTGTAACACATCTAAGGGGGCATCGATATGAAGTACCACTGTCTACTGGTTCACATCTACACATTGGCAACTAAACAGAAAGTCTACGTATCAACATTCAACAGTCTTGGGAGTGTTTTTTCTGGGTTTTGTGGGTTTGTTTTGTTTTTTTGAAATCCATTAGAAAAATGTAAAAGCAGAGGTAACTGTTTGGTGTACAGCTAAAATATGCACCAACCTGCTCTAGTGCCAGGACTGCATTTTCTCCTTCTCTGATGCATGCCACATCTCAGCGCATTCGGAGGTCCCGCTAAGGGCAAGCAGCAGAGGATCCCTCCAGCCCTGCCATCACGTCCCCGGAAAAGTCACTCCTTGACCACTGGTATCGCTTTCCATGTGCTACCAAGTTCCCATAATTCATAAAAAGAGCAAAACTAAATTGAGTTATAGAGAGCAATGCTGACAGCTACAGTTAACTATTTTCATTTGATCGATTACTCCTTCCATTTGTAAAAAATAACCCTAATATCCGTGTGATTCAGTGCAACTTAAGCTGGGGGAAAAAAGTCAGGAATGTTGCCTCTAGCAATCTCACGTGGAGCAATCCTGCTCCAAATGAAAACAGCATCATTTGTCCAGCACACAGAGTCCAGCACTGAAATCTCAGGATGCTCACAGCTCCTAAGGTCAGAGTTTCGATCACCTTCATGTGATGAACACTTGGGTCAAGTGTTTTTAAACTGCCTCTGCTAACAAAACCAGTAAACATTTTAATTGTTCAGAACAAGCTAAGCCACAACACATCCCATCCTGCCAAGCAGGGATTCAGGTCCGTAAGCGTGGAGACCTGGTGGCCCAGTTTTACAGAAGTATCAGTATTATAGAATCATAGAATCATTTAGGTTGGAGAAGACCTTAAGATCATGAAGTCCAACCGTGAACCTAACACTGCCAAGTCCACCACCAAACCATGTCCCTAAGCACCATGTCTACATATCTTCTAAATACCTCCAGGGATGGGGACTCCACCACTGCCCTGGGCAGCCTGGTCCAGTGCTTGACAACCCTTTCAGTGAAGAGATTTTTCCTCACG